GCTATGGAAAATACATCGCAGCGGTCCGAGCTGCCCGGAACTATGGGACGGAGTTCGGCCAGTGACCAGAGCGGCTGTGGCAGGTGAGCGCTGTATTGATCGGCCCCGGCTCCCATTCTGTTGCCCCCGTTTCCTCTCACCCACATTCTCTGTCAAAATTGTTTACCAATCTTTCCTTCGTGCTGTCTTTCCCATACACTCCCCCCACATCTGTCTGTTCAGAACACAAAATGACCAGGCTTCTCAACCTTCATATTCTACGCAGTTTGATATTTTCCAGTTCATAGGAGCCGGGGTCGCGTAGTCGGTACAGCGACTGGTTACGGCTGGACGACCGAGAGGTCGGAGTTCGAGTCGCGGTAGGGTCAAGAATTTTCTCTTCTCCGCAGCGTCCAGACCGGCTCTGGGGCCCATCAAGCCTCATATCCAATTGGTTCTGCGGATACAGTGGCCGGGGCGTGAAGCTGACCACTCACCTCCAGCTAGTGCAAAGGTCAAGGAAATATAGATCTGTACATCCACTCTGCCTTATTTCCATACGCCTTCATGGCGTAGTGCTTAATTAGTTAAGCACAGGGACAATTTTATCTTACTACTTACAATTCAAGGGTTCTTTCTTCTGGGATAGAGCGATGCGTATGACACTGATGGCCAGAAGACGCTTCGGAGAGACATGTCGCCTCCATCTTCAGCGTCGAAGAATGTTTGGTACTTGCTTCATGCTGGTTTCTTCCTTGGTATCTTCTTCAGACTAGTAATTTCAACATACGTAAAGGCCGCGCCATAGCTCAAGCTGTTAGTCGCTGGCTTCCCACTGCGGCGGCCTGGATTCGATCCCGGCCTCTGGTCAAGTGGGATTTGTGGTGGACAAATTGGCGCTGGGGCAGGTTTTCTCCGAGTACTTCGGTTTCCCCTGCCAATCTTCATTTCACCAATTGCTCCACAATCACCCTCACCTATCATTTGGGGCTGGTACAATAAGCCAGAAGTGGTCGCAGTTCAATGGACTTAGTCCCACCCCACTAGCAATAAAAAAACGTACGTTATGAGTCAAAATCACCAGACCGGAGACCTCTTTGGAAACAAAGAGCTCTTTTTTTCGTAACCTTGCTTACTGACGGTATGACGTAACATCAAGGATGCTTTACACAAATAATATTTGGTTCAGGATACTTCACAAAGAAACTGGTAAAGAGTTTCGATTTCCATTTGTTCTCTGTTTCAAAAGGTAGGTCTAACGAGACATGTTTTGTATTGCAGACAATATTTTGGGTTCGATATGACAAATGAATGCATATGAAAACTAAGTACGAATTGGGTCTATAGAAAGATTAAAACGGAGAGACACAAGGGGGGGGGGAAGAGAGATACAAAGGAAACAATATTCAAAGTGAAAGAGTTCTGCACGGGGAGAGTATAGTACTGCTGGATGATGAAAATAGAAGTGTAGGCGACATGCTGTCTGTTCAAATAATTTCAACCCTCCCGAGAGACGAAAGTAATGCCCAACCTTTCCTCAGCCTTTGAGATCCGTATATTTCGGCACAAAACACCCCACAAAGTCTAATTTGAATATTAAACTGTCAAACTCAGTCCGACATTGGCCTGGAAAATGAATTTCGGAAGGTAGGAAGGACAGACCCTCTAGAAGTCTACTGGGAATGAAATTCGATTGTCGAGCCCCTGGCCTGCGAATTATCGACTGAGCTTTCCAGATTTCAATTTATTTCGAAGCCTATAAATCAATACAATATGTTGGTGTCTTTTTTACATAGCCGAAACTATGAACACTGCCCGACAGGGAACATGAAAGTTTTAAGCACGGGCATATACTTTGTTGTGATTAGTACAGGAGAAATTGAAAATTTTACCTTTATATGTTTCGGCAATCACTGGCCATCAGCAGAAGGTATGGCGCACACTTTTTAGAACCAGATTTGTGTACGTTTGTTGAACACATTTTCACTAAAATATAATAGTGGGACTTATAGTAGCTCCAGAAATCAGGACTACTTTGTTCATAAGTTGTGTATAATAAGAGTGGAGGGTTAAAATCATTTAAAATAATGTCACGATTTAGGGGTGACTATAGATGGGGTATGGATTGATGAATGGATTTAGTGACCTCTTGTACACATCACTCGGAACTACAAGTAATTACGCTGCTATCGCTGCTCTCCACGCTTTACAAATCACCACAGCACCTGATAAGCATTTTCCTGCTTGCTCTGTCTCCACCAGTCGCTCCCTAGCAACGGCTCCTAACAGTGGAGATGCTTCAGCTTCCCGCGTTCAGGTCTTCTTGTTACAGCAGCCCGTGCAAAACTCTTGTCGACTGTCAACTCAACTATAGCGCCATCTCTTCTCAGCCTCCGTTGCAGAGCTCAACTGACTGGTTGTCCCAGTTATCTTTTTTATCTCATTTGCACGGACTGAGTAGAAAACACCGTTTCCAACGGTAATTTGATTGTTGTGGAGGTGTGTTTACCGCGCTGTTGCACAGAAACGGCTGTTCTTCTATTGTTGCGTGCATGAATGTTCCAGAGTGATTAAAGACAAAGTGATTGAATACAAGAAAACTTCATAGTGATTTGAAGTGATAGTTTCTGTCTTGAGATCCTTTGCTAGGAGATGACTACTGAAACCTGAGAACCCTAGTGCGTGTGCAACGGTGAACTGGAAAGTGTGTAAATCAGCGAAAGCGCTGTATTTAAGTGTGATTAAGAGAACTTGTAACCAAGGTGCTAATATCCAAGCACCCGGTCTAGAACCCCTTCTTTTCGTCACGCGTACCACCCTACACGTAACAATATAAATGAATGTAAAATTGGAGGATAGAAGGAGGAAAGTAAAAAGAAAGAAAATTGAATAGAATTAAATAAAAATACAGAAGTGAAAAGCGAAGATAAAAAGAAAAGAATGAGTAATAAATTACTGAATACACAAACAAAGATCCGTAATAATAATAATAATAATAATAATAATAATAATAATAATATGTTTATAGGTTTTGAGTTTTAGTAGCCATGTTCCACACTTGATGGCACACCAAGCGCTGAAGGCCTGCAGATATATAATTTTGTAGTCGGTTCGTGTCCCAGCGTCTCCCTAGCAACACCACAAAATGCAGGTCGACTGTACGGTCTCAGATAAGAGGTGACGTCATTACGGGGTTGTTTGTATACCGAGTAATTGGTGTAGTGAAGAAGGCAAGATTCCAGGACAATAAAACCCTCGGCTTCTGCTCCTTCATTCATTTGCTTCGCAGTCATATCTTACCCCAACACTAGGCACCTACCTATGAACCAAAGTGCGTCATACCTCTACTATGCAACTTTGTGGAGGAAACATATTTTGTGTGTCTGAATTACCCACCGGCTATTGTGGACCGTGATATTTTTAAAGCTTTAGCCATATCCGGAGGCAGAAGGATCCCGTAAAATTTGGTAACTCAGAGCATATGTCATACAAGACAACTGTAAATCTGAGATAAAAAGTAGAAATAAGTTACAAAATAACAGATGCAAGAAATGTAAACAAAGAAGAAATGTTTGGCGACTGCTCAGCTTGCACTTTAGTTCCACGGGATGGTGAACACTGTCACAGAATCACTGATGTTCGGACTGTCTTCTAAGTTTGAGAAACTTTCTTTTCGATTGTTGTTATTTATAACTTTGCGCGTTCCTCCTGAGTATGCGCGGTATGTGTGTAAGTATGGGTCACCATCATATAGAAGAATGACCCCTAGACAGATTTCGTGGTATTTGAACGTGTAATTATAATGCAGATAATTCTGTGGCTTCTGCTAATGCCGTTTTCACGCTTGAATACATAAAATATTTGCGAAAGTCTGAAAGTCTGTACTGTTTGGCATTTTTTTTTCCGGCAAATAAATAATGGGAAGCTCTGATTTCAGAGGACGCATGCGGTAGCGTATTTGGTTGAGGCACTATGCTACAAGCCGGAGGTCAAAATTACGAGTCCCGGTGAGGTGGATTCTTTCAGTTAATATTATACTTCCGCCGCACTATGGTCCTGGTGTCGACTTAACCTCTTACAGAAATTAGTACCAAGAATCTTCCTGGGGGGCAAAGGGCTTTCATTTGAAACTCTTTTGATGCAAGGTGCAGGCCTATATTTATGGAAATATATTACTATATTCAGTGAGATATCTGTAATACGATTAGCTGTGGAGCGATGCGTTATATCTACTTTCAGTTTGAGCTGTTTTCTTTTGGTTTTGATGTACTTTGGTCACGTCAGTCTTCTGTCGAGATGCATACCTGGGTATTTCACTCCAGTTCTCTGGGGAAGAGCAACATTTCGCATTTGCACTGTCGGACAGGTTTGGTTGAGTAGGGTGAATGTTATAAGCGTGGGTTTGCTTTGATTTATTTTAATTCTCCATTTCTTCGCCAAATTGTCGATCTTATTGATAGTGGCTTGGAGTTCGATTGACTGGATCTTCATGTATGGCTAAGATAGCTGTAACATCGGCGAAGGTAGCAGTTGTCTTGTCTGACGTCGGGAGGTTGCTTCTGTAGATAAGATATAAGGCGGGTCCTAAGACAGTTCGTTGTTGTACGACTGCTTCAGTGTTCCTTAAGGCTGTGATTTCGTCTGGCACCCAGGCCTCTTATTCAAAATCAGAAAAATCCTTCCCCATGCATTTTACAGAATATCAGAATCATATCTAACGGATAAAGTCAAAAGACATGAACACCAATTCGGTTTGCAAAACAGTGAAGAAAGTATATGAAATGACATACGTATTTCTGCTTAGTACCAAGTCGTGACCAAGTGCAGGGATGAGGAGGTAAAGATTTTATTGCTCTTCAGTTCGTCGTGGAACTGAGACGTATTTGTATGTTCCGGGCCATCACATAAATGGCAAAGATATAACCTTAAACCGCGTCGCTTCCCCCACAACCTTACTAAATAGACGCTCTGCTCATAGCCATGCAGTGAAGAAGAGTAGTTACTTACACGAAAGTACTTACCCGTGACGAGGTTCCCATGGTGGAACTGACAAACAGCGTCGGCCTCAAACCACGTGATGCGGTCACGGAAGTAGCGATAGAAGACTGGGAATCCCTCCTGTGGCAGAAACCACGTGTTGGAGATGTTGACCTGCAAGGAAGATAGCAGTGCTAGATGCTACAGCTGTCCTGAGAAGCTCCAGTCAATTGCATGTTGTGTTTCTGAACATTACCAACTTGGAGTAGTACCAAAGTACAGTTCAACAATTCACAGCACACGACATCACATACGCATGCGTGAACTACATTTACTTAATTTATATTTCGTTTTAACAATTTTTAGTTGTTAATACTTCTTCAACGAGTAATTGGTCAATTAATTTCGCGAATTTTCACTTCCGTGCTCAGAACATTTCACCAATGGTACCTAATCAGAGCCAGTTGAATCCGGTCCACATACAACGTGTTCATTTAAATTGATTTTAATATTAGCTTTCCTTTCGTGTCTTCGTCTTCCAGTTGATTTCCCCAATTTAGATTTTATGGCTAAAAGTTCGCAAACGACTTCCGTTTCACTATGCATGACACATGTCTCGCTCATCTCTTTTTTTTGTTTTTTGTTTGAACACATTAATAATAGTTGCAGAGTAGTGGAACTTACACTAAGCTGAAGCACTGAAAAGTGCGGACAAATTTTGGACGAGAGGTCCACGTCGATGGCTGATAATACGGTATTACAATACATTGCAAGGAACAGAGCATAAGAGCATAGACTGTATTCAACTGGCTTGGACCAGTTTAAGAAGATGTGAATGAAGTTTTGATTCCCTATATGTAGGCAACCCGAGTAACTTGACTAGCGCGACTGTACACTTTTCAGAAAATGCCCCGTGGCGTGGAGTCAGTTATCCGGAGGTTCAGATCTACTTGGAACTAATATTTTATTGCTTCTTGCTTCTGACAGCTGGTTTATTTTCTCTCTTACCTTCATAGGAACACGATTGTTCCATTTATTATTATTATTCAGAGCGAGCTTACTTAAAGCAATAAAGCTCATTCATGATTCTGAAATGCTGCATGAAGTGCCATCAGAAGAAGAAACTGGCCCGCATCTGAGGCTCTTGGGATTGACATCCTTTGCCATTCTACGTTTCAGAACGCAAGGAACGGAACTTGAGCTCTCTGGATGTGAATTTATCAGAAGATCGGATGAATATTTGATGTCGTGTACCAACTTATGGTACTGCATAATTCAGAAGCCGTCATTCACAGTTCCCTAATTTGTGAACACAGGTTGTGTCAAAACTGTGTTTCTGAAATATTTAGTATCAAAAGCTTAATTTGGGTTATGATATTTCAGGATAACAATAAAGCCCTGCGTTAATGATTTAATACGCTACCGAATACGCATTGGTGGTTAAGCAGTGGTTTTCAAACATTGAATGTTACATCACCTGTGCATATGCAATATATTTCATTGAGTTAACTTGGAAAAAAAAACCCCGATCACAGTTGCCGCGAGGTCTAAGGTATGAACCGACTTCGCCCGCTCGAACACTGGGAATGTGGGTTCGAATCCCGGTCTAGGCATGGATGTCTCTGTAGGTTTGTTCTGTGTTTGTGATGTCCTACGTGCAGGTAGCGGCCTTGAGACGGGCTGATCCACCCTGAGCTCTACCAACTGTGTGTAGAATTAAGAACTGAAAAATCGGCCAAGGCCCAGAGGGATGTAGAGCCATAGAAAGAGAGGGGAAGAAGCAAAATGGGAATGCTTCTGGCAAACAGATTTCATTCTAATGAACTGGAGAGCTGCCAATCAGTAAAGTGAGCTGCTACAGGATGGACGGCTGTCTTGCTGAGCAGAGACAATGGCACAGATCTGTTTTATAGTCAGTTTAGGAAAGGAACATGCTCTGAAGATGCTAGGTGCAATTCATTTGGGATATATACGGTTGTGGTCCTCCCCCTGTTTCCAGAAACTGAAGGTCAAGAGAGAGAACGCGTATTTTCTCCTGTGCTTTGCTATGGGTGTGAAACCTGGTCTGTTAATATGAAAGAAGATTATAAATTATTACTTTTGGGAAAAGAACTCTCGGAAAAATATTTCTCCGAAAGGGGGAGGAAGTGAGCAGTTTAGAAATTTACATAACAAGAAATGCCCTAATTTATGCAATTCATGTAATACTCTTAGGATACTACAAATATACGAGGTTATATTGGTCTCAGCATATGGCCAGACGAAGGGAACAAAGGAATGCATGTAGAAGTGTAGTGAGGAAATTTCTCGAAAAAAGTTATACTTTAGGTACCCTCACACACGTGGGATCTTAGAAGATGGGGAATGGACGAAACTGGCTTATGAGTATGCCAGATGGTGTGGCTGCTATTGGTTATGCTGAACCTTCGGGTTCTGTAACAAGAATATTAGTTAATTAGCTATCACCTCCAGAGAGGCTCTGGGACCCATAAAGCCTTCAGTTCACTAAATACTGAGATTCAGCCACAAGCTGCTTTACTCCTCAGCCATTGTAACACGGCTTCATGTGGGTCAGAGCACCCGCCCAGTGTTCGTCAGGAATTATAATAATAAACTAGAATGTATCTACAGAAAATGCAGTAGGGCCGTTTGGCGTTATGTTCTGTTCACAATGTTAAACATGAAGTTACTACTTCAACGCCATGCGTAAATGCATCAGGCATAAGAATTGAGGTTTCCAATGAGGTGAAGATCTATATTGTGGCATTCTGAGTTACTACAGTATGTAGTTCGATAGGTTGGCACCAGCATTTAGGAGCAAAATACCGTCTCCATCTTCAGAGAGAAGGAGGTTGGGTGTCTACCACCTCGTGGTAGTTTGCATAGGATGAACAGGACTCTTTAGTGTCGTCCTGTTGTTCGGGCCGCGCTATGTTGTAATACTGCTAGTGTGAGGGGGCAGGATGGACCAAATCAAATCAAATATGAACTCAGTTGAAAATCGTAGCCTCACACAACAACGGTATTGAAGAAAGCAGTCTTCTGGGATTTGGCACCGTGTATATGTGGTGTTAACCGACGTTTCGGAGGAACGTATCGCCTCCATCTTCAGGGTAGAAGAANGGTCTTACTTGAAAAGCATGGCAACACACAACAATGTGGTTTCAACAAATAACAATATCATCTGACTTCTGTGTTACGTAACTACATCTGTCTGCAGAAAGGAAAGATAAACTTCGTATGGGCCTTCACGGCCTGTTACAAGGATAGCTTTACTTTACTTTACGAATCAGGCATGCACGCGTACTTCCAGTGGTCGATATAGGTTGGGAATTGATGCGACCGGTCAGTCTCCTTTGACCTCATAGTTTACTGAAGCCGAAATTATCCAATGCCTGACCGCCTCAGGCGAGGTTGAGGTGCTCCTCTGAACCCCATTATTCGAGCTGCAAGTAACAATTTCTTCCAGTCGCCAACCACGGGCATTCGGATTCACGTCTATTCGTACTAGTTTTAGTCTTTTACTTCTTTTTCCGTTGCCTTCCTTTCCTCTTTCTCTCTTCTCATATTCTTCTACTCCTTTTCTGCCGCTTCTTCTACTTGTGCTTCATGTACTCCTTCCGTATTACATTTTGTAATTCACATATTTGCCCTCTTTCTACTTATTTTTCTTCTGGGCCAATTTCTTCCCCTTTAACTATCATTTATTTGTCTCATTCTGCTATTTCCACAGTGCTCCTGTACAGGAAGAATATAACCCATAATAATTATTCATTTGTTTTAGTTATGGCTGCTTTTATGATATTTATTAGAGGTAAATTAATGCACCTAGAACGGCGTTCGTCACGGTAGCTGAGCGGTCTAAGGCATGTACTGTCTTCGCTCGCATGAAAACCGGGATCGTGGGTTCGAATCCCACTCAGGGCTTAGATATTTACTTTGTGTGTGTTTTTCTGTTTGTGTACAGGTAGAGGCCTTGAGACGAGCTGATCACCCGCCCAAGGAGTCCTACCGAATGTGTAAGATCTAAAAAAACCGAAGTGAACGGAGAAGTTCATGGAAATAGGCCTACGCCCACTGGGGCTGTAGAGTAAACAAAAAAACAAAGAAAAGAAGGCCTTTCCTTCTATCGTCTGGTATGTAAAAGACAAAAGACCACAACGTTTCGGAGACTGGATAAATCTCAATCTTCGTGTGGGCGAGGAAGAATAAACCACCTCAACTAACCAAACTGCGTGTATTTGAAAACAACCTATGAACATCCGACAACCGGTTCCATCAGTAGGAGATAACAATAAAATCACAGTAAAGACGTGATAGAAAATTTGTGGCATGTATGCATATGTCAACAATGTAAACAACAGAAGTATAGATTAAATTCCAGGAATTCAGTTAAAAATGAAAGTAAAAACTTGGATAATGCATGCCTAATCTGTGTGAATAAAGAATCGTGCCACCAGGGCGACTTCCGGGACTCAGACTAATCTCCGGATGGGGATGGAACCGGTTGTCGGGTGTTCATAGGTTGTTTTCTACAGACCGGGGTTTGTCCAGTGATTGAGACTAGCTCTTTCTAACGGGCCCAACTGAGTAGGTTTATCCTTCCCTACCAAGCTGAAGACGGAGATAGATCCAGTCTCCGAAACGTAGTGGTCTTTTGTCTTTTACATGCCAGACGATGGATGAAGTCCAAAACAAACCAAAAGAAATACAGTATACACCATCGTCAAATCCTTTCAAGTCTATCTATATTATATTGTAAGTCACTAAGTATAACATTAGCAGAAAGTCAGATCAGATACACTAATAAAGAAGAATTACTTCTGAATGCAAGAAACATCAAATGACTGTTGCTGTAGTTTTTTGCAGATTGTAAGTCCCATTTCCTTCGCTGCTACGCTGAGGTTTACAAGTGCTTCTCTCCGTACACCTGTGGTTCTCCTCATGAAAACAATATCGTCTGCATTTGCAAGTATCAGGGTTGTTGTGTCATTTCCTTTAGTTTCTGTGCCCAAACCTCTGGGAATATCTTGTAGTGCTATGTTAAATACAATATACAATCTCCCTGACGAAGTTGCCCCATCTTCCCTTATATTTCCTCTCTTTGTGTAACATTGAGGGCGCAGAATGTGAGTGGTGAGGCCTGGTATTGATCTAGCACGTGCGTGCGTGGG